TATCATTTCACATACAATTTTTTTTACAGAAAAAGCAAAAGAAAAATAACAAAATAAATTAGAGTTTTAAATTGAATTAAATATAATATATTGTTTATTAAATAATTTAAATAATTTGATCAAATGAGGTTAGATTAGGTCAGATTAGGTCAGGTCAGGTCAGGTTAGATCAGATCAAATAAAAATTTAAATTAGGTCAGATTTTTGTTTGACCTGACCTGGTCCTCTCAGTTCAGATAACTTGATTGACCCGACCTGAACCAATCTGTTTGGAACTCTAGCAATCTATTATCAACTATAATCACTTCGAGGATATCATGAGATGTCATCCAATCTACTAATTACTGGTTAATCACTTCTTTACTTGTGTAAGGGCCCTAAAATTGAAGACGTGAGACAGTATCCATTACAGGCTTATCAGTGAAGGCCAAGTTTCTGTTAATCCTTGACTTTATTTGTATTTACTTGTTCTGCAATTTCAATATTTAAGCATGGTTAATGCCGATCAATAGGTCGATTGACCAGTTTCTAATGCATATTAGTATATACACCCATATATTCAGTTACATATAAAATTCTTATGAAAATTATCTAATTTTATGCCTCAGCTGAGACTTGCATCTGTGGCTATTGCAGTATAACCCACAATAGGGCTCAGTTGTTGACAACTAAACTAGGGATGCCAATCCTGAATAAAGCAGTAAATATGATCAAAGCATATATAAAACTAGATAATGTCATAAATCAGCATATGTAACAATTGATTTTGCCAGAAACTATGATAGAAAAAAGGTGAGATAAAATATATTTGGACAATGATCATGACAAAATATTAAAGAAGGTGGGATAATAATACAACTGTAAATTATTATCAGGTTAAAACTTATATTTATTTGGGTTCTTGCAGGCTAAAATTATAAATAAAATTGATATTCTAATTCTCAATGTTGAGTCCTTAGAAGGAACCTTCACTACTTTTAAGATTATTGCAGAAAATGAAATGGAGGCAAATAAAAAAGTATGATTTTAAATTGTTATGACTTATTGTTGTTAAATTACTGATTTTTGTTCTCAAACCTTCATAGGTAATAATCCCACACTGTAATTCTAGTTTCATAGGTTTCCGTTCTAAGGTAGAATGTTGTTTGTTAACAAAACTATATACAGTATATTAAGAAGCTAGAAGAGAAAGGTTTGAGATTCAGAATTCTTTTCCTTAGATTACGTAGATTTGGAAAATCAGTATTCCTTGATATACTCTGCCAATATTATGACATTAAAAATGCAGACAAATTTTCTCAGCTTTTTGGATTACTTTATATTGGATAACATCCTATGAATTCACAAAATAAATGTTTAGTTCTTAAATTTGATCTCTCATCCATTAATGTTCATACTTATAAAATGATGAAAGAAAGTTTCAATTGAAATGTTAATCATATATTGCGAGAATTTGTTAAGAAATATGACAAAGAGCTGGAATATCCAAACATTGATAAATTAATTGTCAAGCAAGCCTCTATATCTCTTCAAAATATTATAGTAAGTTGTATTATTTATATTTCTATATTTTCTATATTTGTCTTGTATGCATGCTATTTAACATATATTAATGATCATAAAGTCTATTGTAAGCAAACAGTCTTAAAAACTCTTTATTAGAGTTGATGAATATGACACTTTGGATAACAACTGCATGTTCAAACATGAATTTCATATTCTGAATGATGCAGAGTGTAATGATGTTGATATAATTGAGCAATTTTTTAATACAAATTTTTTTGCAGTAATCAAAAGAGAATGCTGTGGCCTTATTGATAAATTATATGTCATAAGAGTTGTCTCTGCATTCCATATAGAGCTTAGTCTGCTTCTTATATTAGATGATATTTCAGAAAGATCACAATTCTATAGAATTTGCGGTTTTACAGAAGAAGTAGTACAGTTAATTGCTAAATGTTATTTTGATAATAATATGCAGATAGTAAATGATGCAATGGATCAAATAAGACAGCTGTATTTTGAATATAACTTTGTTAACACAGGATCTAATACTCAAACCCCTTTTTATATAATATTTATCTAATTTTCATTATTTGAGAGAAAGACAAAGTCACGGCCTTATTTTTAAACCTTCTGAATCAGCTGCTATAAATTCAATAAAGATATTTACATGTATCACTGATCAGAGCCCAGTCTCTATCAACAATCTCTTTAAACTTCTCATAAATGAAATGGTTTTTACCAAACTTTAATTATTCTGATTTCCTCAAGATTGGAGAATAAGATATAGATATCATCAACAGCTCACATAGTCTTATTTGTATTATTTTGAGATATTGACGTATGACTATGCTGAAAGATTGATAATCCCAAATTAAGTAATAAGGACTGAAGTATGTGTTTTCATTTTATTTTCTTAATATATTTCGAATAAGGAAATCCTAAAAAATATTAATTTCATTTAGGTTATAACCCAAATTATTGACTATATAAAAGTTCCAACAGAAATCTTTTTTAACACAGATTTCCTACATACAATCAACTTATACGTGATTCTGTAAATCTACTGGTAGAACTTACAAAAAACTTCTTCAAAAATAGACCTATGATGTTATTAAGAACTGTCAATAAAGCCATAATGCAAGTAACTTTTGAAATTTTCCTTCCAATATCATTTCATGTCGCTGAGCTTCATCTTATAATTGATGGAATGAAGAAAAGTGATGATAGACGCTTTGGTTTTGTAGACCTTTTTGTTTTTGAAAGTGGGAATGGCTTATTGATATCAAATATTGTATTAAAACTCAAATATATTACAATTACTGGTCTGTTAAATGGAACACAGAGATTTTAAATAAAGAATCTAGACACAAAAATTATAAACCTGTTGAATAAAGATCTTAAGAATGAGAATGAAAAGCAGTTGTTGCAATGTAAATATATGTATTAGTCAAAGAAGAAAAAAAAATTTGTAATACAGCAGTTGCATGACATTTTGAATGACAGGTATTAATAGTTAGACAGATATATCAAGACGATTATAAAAGGGATAGTGAAAAGTTTTCATAATTTAGATATTCTAGATTCAAGAATTATAGTTAAAAAAGAATTCTTTAAATTAAGAGGTTATCTTATTATGTTTATAGGCACCTATCATATACTAGTATGATCATATGAGCCAGTAATAATAGAGTTTAAATATTATAAGTTACAGGATTAAAGCCATTATACAATAAAAAAGAATTTGTTATAACAAATTTATGAAACATATATTTTTTTTCGCTTTAGTAAAATTTAAACAAGTCAATCAAATAGGTTTTGGTAGATATTAGAAGCGAAAGTTTAAGTTTTCCGTAATCTATATACTAATACTATATATGTTAGAATTGTGCTTTTATTTTTTAAGGAAAAAAAAGTCCTAGACATTATTATAATTCAAGAAATAACTGAATAACCAAATATATGCTTTATTATTAAATCATTATTTATATACTGTAGATAAAATGTTTACTTATATTATAATATATTTTAAAAAGGTTTTTTTTATATATAGCATACAATATAAAGAAGGTAATATAGGCATGATTGTATGTTTAAAAATTTCATTTCTTGTATAATAAATAATCTATATTTATATTCATTCATTTATAATAAATATATATATTATATAATAGATGTTGGAAAAATGTCTGCAACTCTTAACAGTTATAAATCTAAATGGATTATTTTAGTCATTGGCTGATTAAAAAAAAAGGAATTTTACCATTGTATATATAGTTGGCATCAAAAATACTAATAAGAAAACTAAAAATAAAAATAAAAAAAAGTTTTCTATAATTAAATTCTGTAAATCTGTAAATAATTTTGGTCACCGTAATTTTGTAAATATACATGTAAATTCAATAAGTCAGTCATGCTAGGGCAAGCTTATCTGACTGACTTATCGAGAGAACTAACTTATCAAATTTTATATCAAAATTGATCTATATAAAAATATTCAATCAGATTTTAATAAATTAAAATGTTTAAAATAACATATAAAAAATTATTCATTATAAAAAAACTTTCTAAGGTAGGTTATTTTAGAGATGCATTTTGTTTTTTTTAATTTGATGTTGTAAGTTTCTCATTCCTGATATTACTGAACTAATTACTTTTATATTAGAATTTTATTGCAAATAGTTAAATAGATTTTTAATACTATCTAAAGCAATTGGATATGATATTGGTATATTCATAATTTCTTCTTCTTCTTCTTCTGGTACTTCTTATACTGCAGCAATAATCTTATCTTCATCAATCACTTTGGCAATTTCTATTCTAGAATCAATATTAATATAATTGCTTGCTATAATATCATTAATATCCATTTGATTAATAAGTGTTTGGATTGCATTTTCTTCATATTCTAATTCATATTCTAATTCATCTGATCCTTCAAAATTTTCTTTATTTTCTTATTAGGTAGAATACCTGTTCTTTGCCAATAATAGTATATTATATTATCAGTTACATTACCCCAGAATTCTGTAGTCCAATTAATTGTATTCAAAATATTTAATTTAGGAATCTCAACACCAAGTTCTTGGTACTTATCAAATGCTTGAATCCTATCTTGGTATAGTAATTTTTTATAATGAGCTTAAACAAATAAGGTAAAATTATTAATATTAAAAATAAATTTACAAAAGATTAATATTATAATTATTTTAAATAATTGTATTATACCTTGATCAATTAGCTGAAGATGAGAAGTTATGTTTGGTAAAAGAAAATGCAATTTAATATTGCTCAACTCTTCACCTTCTTCTAATTGATGTAATGAAATATTATCTACTAATAATAAAATGTTTCTTTGCCTTTTTTGTATTTCTTGATTAAATTGTCTAATTTATGTTTGAAAAATAGAACATTGCATACATGATAAATTATTCTAATAGTACTATACAGAAAGTGATTTTTTATTAATGTTATAAATACAGCGTGGATTTTTAAATTTATAGATGAATACTAGAGGTAACTTATGAATTCTATTTATATTACATGCAAGCATCACAGTAATTCTATCTTTTGATTTTTTAATCCAGTAAGAGGTCCACTAGTAAGAGATTTATAGGATTCTAATTTTTAATAAAGACTAGTTTTGTTTACATTATATATATCTGATAATTCATACTATATAATTATAGATTGTAGTTTAGTTCTAAATGTAGGTAATTCACTAATTGATGCACTTGCTGCTTCTCTTAATTTATAATGTTCTTTAATATTATTTCTTTTTTTAAAATTTGAAAACTACCTTTATTTAAAAAAAAAAAATAATAGATATCAACAGATTTGATAAATTAATACAGTATACAACAGAATGTCTGGACATATAAGAAAATTTCATTCAAAATCTGTTGAAATGAAATTACTAATTGTGTTTCATATGTAACAAAGATTTTTAAAATCCGTTGAAATGCGAATTTAATTATAATCCGTTGAAATAAAGGTTATAATATACCACAGTTTATTAAAACAAAAGAGATTAATACCTGTGATGATTTGAAATCAGAAATATCAAGTCTTCGAACAATTATACTATCTTTTAACTCAGAATTGCACCAGTTACTGTATGATTAGCTTCATTGGCAAGATTTACTTAAATTAATAATGCTTCTTTTAACTGTGACCATTCACTTTTACAACCACATTTTTTATTGACATCTGCTAAATTTTTGCAACTGTAAGCCATTTTTCTTTGTTATTTAAAATATCACCTATAGTTGATTTACTAATTTCAAATAATTCAGCAATTGTTTCATGTGACTTGAATGGGTTATCAAGTTTATATTCACATAATTCTTTTTTTTTAATAGCTATAAGAGTTTTTAATTTTCTTCCTTTTTTACTGCCATCTTTACTAATAGGTTCAGATGTTCCTTTAGCATTATTTCTTTGTGTATTCATTTTAATTAATTAAACAATTAATATTTTTTTTTTATAACAGGTACATGGCAGTAAATTTATTCTTTATATAAGAAATTTGATAAAGGATCTTTATTCTATAGATTAAGGTGACAAAGGATAAAAATTGATTATTTTTTGTTTTAGATTAGATCTACTAATTTTATGGATTTAATTATTATCTTTATTTGAGACAAAGGTTAGAAATTGATTGTATTTCTAATAATTTTCACAAATTTAATTGTTATCTTTATTTGAGATAAAGGTTAGAAATTGGTTGTAGACTTAATAATTTAATTGTTATCTTTATTTGAGACAAGGATTAGAAATTGTTTATATTTTGGATTAGACCTAATAATTTTCACAAATTTAATTGTTATCTTTATTCAAGAAATTGGTTGTATTTCAAATTTAATAATTTTCACAAATTTAACAATTAATAAGATAAAAGATAAAAATTATTATTGTTTTTTTCAAAAATGTAGGTTCTTGAAATAGATAATTCAAATAATTCACAATTATTTCTAATCAAACTGTAAATAAAGTCACATAATAAAATAGGTTAAAAAATAAACTTTCAATTTTTATTTTCATCCTATGTAACAAAAACTAACCACTAATCAAGATTCAAAATTTTAGTCATGTGAGTAATGTATCACGTGAAACTGACTTATCGTGATTAATTTAATTATACCAGTTTAAGTGATTGACTGATTTAGATCTTATCATGATTTTATATAGATTGACTGACTTATTGAATTTTTTTAAATAGTGAAAAAAAGAGGTGAAAATTTTTGGCTGAGTTAGGCTAAAACTGACTTATTGCATGACTGACTTATCAAATTTACATGTGTAATAGTTTTGTATTCGTGAAAATATTTTCAATATCAATAATAAATCATAAAATATATACCTTAGTTGAATATTTTAATGATAATATATTTTGTTTTATTTTCATATTTTATTATTAATAGTAATAATACCCTTATAATATTTGAAAAAACTTGCAATTCATTTACCTAAAACTATTCTATTGATTCATTTAAGTTTCATTCTATTTATATACTTTCTTTCAATTTTAAAATAATTATAAAAAACTACAAAGTAAACATAAAATAATATATAGACTTATAGGTATATGAAAAGTAATAATATAAATAATAATTATAATAGTTCTAATGAATATGAAAAGGCAATTGATTTTTTAGAAAAAGGTTGTAAATGTAGTTACTCTTCCGGAATCCTTAAGGAAGAATTTGTAGAATTACATGAATCCTTTTAAGCTCTCTCTAAAATAGAGCAAGACATATTTTTAATGGCCCAACTTAAAGCAATGAATGGTAGATTAATAAGTACTAGTAGACGCCTTAAAAGAAAAACTAGATCTAATAAAAGAACTTTTTACTAATGGGATCACAGTATACTTCTTTGTCAAGAAACTTATCTTAATATATTAAGAATTGGTAGGACTTATTTTGAAAATATTAGAAATCATTTGATAAATAATGGTCTTCTACTAAGAATTCATGGTAATATTAAGAGAATGCTTTAATAAAAGACTAAAATGGTAATTGATAAAAATATTATAGAAATAGTAAAGAATTTTATAGAAACTTATGTAAAAGTCTATGGATTACCAAGTCCAGAAAGAAGTATCAATAGAATAATCCAATCAATTGTATTCTTATCAGCTGAAATGAGTTACAAATCAGTGCACAGAGAATTTCTAGCTGGTCTGGAAGAAGATAATAAATTGAAATTCTTAAAATATGATATCTTCAGAAAATTGTAATATCAATTGATACCAGAAATTCAAATTATGAGTCTAAGGACTGATCTGTGTAATACTTGTTAGCATTTTAGAGACAGTTTACATTACAATAATCACCAAGAGAAAGAAGTCAAAGAATTACTTAAAAGATTTAAAGAACATCTATCTAAGACCAAATAAGAGAGAAATTATTATAATAAAAATACCAATTTAGCAAAAAAACAAAGAAAACTAGTTGATCAACATTATTTTAAGAGTAAAATACAATATTGCAGTATTGATGCTACCGTTTATTATAGTTATAATTGAACTCAAAATATTTATGTGTCACATTTAGATTAACAAGTAAGTAAAATTTATTATCCTATGTAAAGTTTATTTATTTAGTATTCAAGATGAAGCAGTAAGTGAGCAAATTAATTATGTTCTTAATGAAAATGAAATTATAGGACCAAATGGCATACTTAGTATGATTTTTGATAAAATTAAAAAATTGAATAAAGATGAAAAACATTTAAAGATTACTTGTGATAATACTGGTAGACAGAATAAAAATAATATAACAATTTAGTTCTATTTATATTTAGTAATTTGTGATTATTATGAAAGTATTGAATTGAATTTTATGATTCCTAAATATACTAAATTCAAATGTAATGGTAGTTTTGGTTTAATAAAAAAAAACTCTACAAAAAAATAAGAGTAGATTGTCTAGATCATGTGGTTGAGATGATAGTTCAGCTAGATTGAATAAAGCTCAATGTTATGAAGGTGAAAGAGGTTTTCAATACTAAGATATTAAAACTATTTTGAAAATTTATTTTAAGAATTACCAAGCATCCAGAAATATTAACATTTTCTTTTTGAAGTATCTAATTTTGGTATAGTAAAAGTTCAAGAAGTTGCTAATGGATCTTTTGTTGAATTCAATTTATTAAAAACCAAGAAAATAGATATCTTTGAAGAAATTAGAGCTTTATCTATTTTAGTGTTAACACCATCTTTTTTGGATTACAAGAATATCTTTACCAGAATATTTGCCCATTTATAAGGGATGAATTCAAAAATATTACTTGTTCAAGACCAATCTATACTAGAAATGAATAAAATATTTAAAATAAAATCATTTCTATTATTAGTTAATTTGTTCTTTACTGTCATTAAGTTTAATAAGTTTAGCTTTTTCCACTTTTAAAGTAAAAAGGTACTAAAATAAAATTTATATACTTAATATATCATCATAAAAAGGATATAAGTATAGTATATTAAAAGAATAAATAAAAAAAAGGAATAAACAAGAAATCATAAATGAACAACAAAAAGAAAATAAAGAACTATTAAATGAAATAGAAACACTAAAAAAGCAATTAGAAAACAAAGAAGATAATTTTAAATTAAGAATTTGAAATGCTATTAATAATATTAAAGAAAGAGAAAAATCAGATATTGCTGATACATTAATGATTTTAGAACAATATTTTTGGTTGAGTAAAGATTCAAAAAGAAAGTGAAGTTAAGAAGTTATTTTTGGTAATAAATTCATCTTTGAAAACATTATTAAAGGTTTTATAGAGTAAACATTACTTAGTTGTAATTCTCTCAGTTATATTTCTGAACAAAATAAAAAACTTGAAGAAAAGAATGCTGAAAAAATTGACAAAAAGATCTTTTGAATGATGAAATCAAAGAAAAATCACTAATGTTCCAAAAGTCTAATAAAATGCTTGAAGAAGAAATAATAAAGAATGCAAAGTTGTAAGAAGAATTAACCTAAAAATTAGAAATATTAAGAAAGAAAGATCAGAAATTTAAGGATGAAGCAAAAGAAAGAGAAGAATTAAAAATACAACTATATTTGAAAAGAAAATCCTTACCCTTTCTTCCTAAAGAAATAAAAAGTAGGACTTTAAATAAACAAAGCATTTTTAAGTAATTAAAAACAAAAACAAAAGCCAAGGTTCAGCAGTTGCAGAAATTAATCAAAAGAAAGAAGTTTTATAGTTAAGTAATTGTCACTAAAATAAAAGTTCTAGTTAAGTAGTTATGAGAGAACTGCTTTACACAATCTTAGATTTAGAAGAATAATACAGCAGTAATTCTACTTATGTTTTTTGTTCTGGTTTGAAAAAAGCAGTTTGTCAAATCAGAACATAAAGCAAAGCAACTGGTGAAATGGTTGAAAGTGATAAGGCTTATGAAAACTGTAAAGAAAATTTTGAAAATGATAAATTGCCTAAGTGTGATTGTGAAAGGTTAAAGAATAGATATACTTATGATTGTAAAGAAGAGAAAAATGAAAAGAACTTCCTCTTTTACCTTATCAAAATGGAGGAATGGCACTTTTTTATGAATAGCAAATAAATGGCTTGCAAGAAAAGAAAAGACAGTTAAAAGAGAAAGTAGATACACATTGGAAGTCTTAGAAGTGGTTGAAGATTAGCATAAAAGACAGAAATAGGAACTATTAGATCAAATTAAGCAACTAGAAGAAGAAAACAAACAACTAAAAGAATTAACTTCACAAGAATTATTAAAAGAAATCAATGATTTAAAAGCTCAATTAACCTAATTATAACAACAGTATGGTCAATTAACTGCACAAATTGAAATTAAAGAAACTAAAAAATGACCTTGATTGAAGATAAGAAAGTAATTTTAGATATTTTCCTTTGTATAATTCCAACTATCAAAAAAAATGATAGTTATTTTCCTTCTAAAGGTTTCTGCTTTTTATTAGGTAATAATATATCATTATGCTGCTTTCTTTTCTTAACATTTATTATTTTTCTTTCCTCTTAATAAATTTCATAAGCAATTCTTTCTTTGTCTAAATATATTTGTAAAGATTTGGTATCTGCTAATTTAAAAATATAAGGTGCAATTTTTTCACCTTGTTCTTTCTTCAAAATACTTCTAATGGTGCTATAATTTTTGGATTCCATAGTAGATCTGATGTAAATTAATTTCATATTAACTATTTTTATATAAGAATAGTTATATATATCACTTAAGATAACAAATGGGATATTATAAAATTGTTAATTATAATTATGTTACAAATGATTGAATTTTGATTCCTAAAATTCTTGGTAATACTAATGTTCACTTTGTTGTAATATATCCCAATTATTAATATTTATATAGTATTTACTTTTAATATAATTATATATATATTGTAAATTTTTTTACTTTTTTTATTATTAATTTTATTTATTTAAGCTAAGTAAAATTCATAATAATTTGATAAAATCTTTATATACATATTCTATTTAATTTCTTATTTATTTATTTTAATTTTTTTTATTTATTTAAATTTATTATTTATGAATTTATATATTAATATATAATATAGTATTTAAAAATATTTAATAATAAAATATAGTTTATTAGATACTTATAATGATTTTAATTAAATAATAATTATTAAATATTTCAAAATATTTTTTTTAAAATATTATTACTAATAACTTATATCTATTAATATAAAAATATAATTTTACTATAAATTGTTATAAACTAAATTTTTTATCTTTCTATAATTACTAATTACTAAATGGTGATTTAAGTTACTTGAATAAGACTGTTGGTAAATTATTATATATTTACATACTAAATTACAAAATTTATAAATTTTTAAACTTAAGATGAAACTATAAATTAAAGGTTGCATATCATATTTTTAAATAAGTTTTATAAATTTACCCCTGAAATTTTTTTAGTTATTTATTGGTTTGTCATATAAATTATTGAGCTACCAAACACGGTTGGAAAAAGTTCCACTCTCGAAAACAACTTTGCGGGTATTAGCGAAAAATTTGGAAAATATGGTTTATACGCCGAAATTAGTTTCACAAAACAATTCGTCACTTTTCGAACAGGACGTGAATTCGTCACCGTCTTGTCAAAGCAGTGAAAGTAGATTTAATAGTAGTACTCAATGGTTACGAAGACGTTTCGAGCAAAGCCAAGAAATTTCTTCCGCGTCTGAATTTGGGGATCAGTATTCTCCGTTACTATTGCGTGGAAAAAGCGGCAAGAATTTAAATTTAGGAGCGAGATCTACAGGGTTTCAACCTTTTAGTCCTGTTCAAGAGCAATCATCTCCAACGTCAACCTCACCAGCTTCACCAACGTTCCCACAATTACAAGGATTGATTAGAGAACAATCACGAACATCATATCAATCACAATTCCAATCTAGGCCGACGATATTTCAATCATCACAATTTCAATCTAGGCCAACACCATTTCAATCATCACAAATTCAACCATCACAATTTCAACCAAGGCAAACATCATCATTCCAATCAAATCAATTTCAGCTTAGGCCAAGAATTGATACTACAGGATCAACTCTAAGCAGTATTCAGGGCATTGCCCAACAGGATAATACTAGTAGACTTACATCCTTCGCGTCGACACCCCAGCCACTTTTGCAGTCGCAACCAAGCACTTATATTACTCAGTCAAACGTCGCGCCTATAAATACACCAACTTATACTGGTCCTGTTAGGACTTCAGATTCAACATTTGATGTTGGTATATTAGGTAATCGATTTGAAGGACAACCAATATATTCAAGTGGGCAAAATATAATTGAACGTGAGATATCAAATATGAACGTACGAATAGCCGATTCACCCCTTGTTCAATCAACACCCGCACCAAAACCAAGGCAGCAACAAACGTCACCTCCTCATAAATTAGAGAATTTGCCTTATCTTGCTCGTCTCCTAATTATTGAGCAAGAATTACCAAAGAATGATTTTGAAGTAGAAAAAAGTAATAGTGTGAAGACATTGATTTGTAACATTTGTTTGGTGATTGTTATAACAATTCTAACTTCCACAAAATATTTTCGGTATGCATTGATTATTCATTGTAGTTTGTTTCCAATTTTATTATGTATACACTAATTACTCTATTTGAAAAGGCAATTTGAAATCTATACAGTTACAAATTTCATAGGCAAGTCTAGCTTATTATTATAGTATTATTATGATTATTATTATTAATATTATTATTATGATTATGATACAGGATATGGCTTGTTTTGTATTCCCATATTTTTCATACTTCGAGTACTTTATGTAAATGTTCTATGGAATAGAAAGAAGAAACAGATTAATCAGATCAAAGAACAATTAAGTAAGTAGTATTAAATTTAAATAAATGGTATTTACAATAGATCCTTATCCTTAAAACTATATTTTATAGTGAAAGAATTGGAACAAAATAGTTCTTATGATCCTTCATGTTACACAATTAGCCCACCACGCCCTTCAAAAAGTATAACTACACCAACATCATCAAGCACTGTCGTATCATCAATCCCAACACAATTTACAATATTACCTTCTTCAATGAGCTTACCTTTCACTGGCATTTCAACAACCTCGACGATTTTCCCTTCTGCATCTGCATCTTCATCGAATTCATTCATTAATGCTTGGGGTTCTTCTGGTAGAACACCTTTTCCACAGCAAATTCCTCCTACGACGAAGTATCGTCAAGCACCATATGTAACTCCGTCGAAGATTGATGAAAAGTTGATTACCGTTGGCAACGTTTTAGCTCGATCATCACCAACTCCACATCCTACCGATAGAGAAACCTAAACCAATAAACATTGTGCTTAAATTACACAATATTCATTCCAATATTTAAATTGGTTGAATATTTGAACATTGTGTACGTCTTTTGGAAATATGATAAATTTGTATAAGTATTTTAGAATATTATACTTTATTTAGTAAATAAATAAATAAATCCTTTTTTTTTTTTAAAAAGAAAAAAAAAAAAAAAAAAAAAAAATCTCGCCATACGTTAGGAAATTAAATTAAAAGTAATTAATGTCTTAAAGCTAATCACTAAACTATATTATTAGCTTATAAATTGTGCTAATTTTTGTTTATTCTAATTCCAACTTGAAATTATTACAAATAAATTTTTTTTTTTTTTTTTAAAAAAAAAGAATGGTAAAACCAAAAATTTTGAACGTATACGTTTGTAGATTACAAATATGATAATTGTATTTTATATGTTGTAATGGAAAGAACCACAAAAAAGATGAAGTATATTTATAAGAAAAAAAAGTTCTAATATATGTATTAAACTTGGGTTACGACATAGTAAATCATATGATTTTAAATCCCATATATTCATCTAACACGTTTTCATTAATTAACTGATATTTTCGTTCTCTTCATTTATTTCATTTATGGCTTGAAAACCAAATATTTGTTGTAGCCTCAAAAGTTTTATTTTACGTTGATCATCTAGATATTTAAAATCAAAATTTTAATTTTTTTAATTTCAACCAAATTAATAAAATACATGATTATAATCTTACCTTCTGTTGGAATTATATTATCCTCCGTTTTATCATGATTATTTGAATTTTGAGGAACTAAAAAAAAAAAAAAAAAAAAAAATATATATCATGAAATTCATGATTAAGCTAAATAGAGAAACAAAATTTTATTATAATTGAAATAACATACAGAGATTTTTAACTTCCGCGATAACATTAGCTCTTTCCTTTTCTTCTTCTTCTATAGCAATGTTGGCAAGTCCACGGCGAATATAACTTTGGAAATATGGACCTGTCCTAGATAACTGTGTTGTTATCTTGCCTTCCATTTCAGGGTGTAGTTTTTGAAATTCATATAATTCATAAATACCCTGAATAAACAATTTCAAATAATTTAAATCCAACTATTTATTTAATTCTAATGATTATTTATTTAATTGACTACCTATAATTACCTTTTTCGTTTCTTCTCTCGTTCCAATTTTAAGGAAAATTTGAGTCAGCCGTGCATTCATTTCTACTTCATGTGAGCCTGATGAACGTGCACTACTAGTTGGTGTAGGGAATTTCGGAGTCATCGGAGTGCGTGGTGACGCTGGACTTACTGGCTCTGAAGCATTTGACATTGTTTCATTAATATGACCAGGAACTTCGGGTACTGGAGAACTTCTAGCTGGTGGAGAACTTCTAGATGATGAATTTTTTGCCGATGAATTATTCTTAATTGAAGCTTCGTTTAAGGGAGAAGATCTTGCAGTATCTGTAGTGGCAAGTGTCAAGTCGGAACCGGGTGAACTAAAAGATCGGACTGATGAAATTGAAGATGAACGACTTGATATATGATTGTAAGCGATTGTTGAATTATTAGCTAGCTTATCCTTCTTCTTAGTAGCCTCAATCATATGATGCAAATAAGGATAAACATAACTCCTTTGTGGATCTTCAATAAGATCTAAATGTTCGTATACATTATCACCAAGACCTGTTACCAATTCAAGTAACAATGTTTTAACCGTACGTAAAGGCATTTCGCCTAATGGTACCTTTTCTGCTGCTCGTCTTTTCCATTCAGCTGGTGGTGTTGCTAAAAAGAAGCTATTGAGATCACGTAATAATTGATTCGGTGAAAGGATACCAGCCTTCAAATTATCTTGAACTGTCTTTGCTAGTTTCCATAAACATTTCATAATTAGTTCAGTAAACTTTGTTTGTGTGGTAGCTGTAGCTGCATCAACTTCACGCAAATTAGATGATGATTTTTCTAGTATTGAGATTAGTGCGCTAAAAAAAAAAATTTAAAGATATAAAATAATACTTTTCATTTTATATAGGAAAATTAATCTCTCTTACCTATACGTTCTGTTACGATTGCTATTTTCAAGTACCTTAACCATTGAGACATTAAGCGCTTTTGATAATTGTTGACCACCATCCACTATTGTGAGATTATGATCTAACAAGCGATGTGCTAGCTCAGATAATAAACGGTCAAGTGAATCTTGAGACACTGCTAATGCCAAATTCTTATTTGAAAATAATAGTACTAAAGCGTTGACAAGATGTTTACATAGTCGAATTAAACTCTGTGATTGTGGTTGAAGCTGTGTATAAGAAATACGAACTTGGAATGCCAAAGCATTTACGAGTTCATCTACATCATGAATAATGGATTCAGGAGAAGTGTTCAAATGTTTGTCTAACTCTTTCAATGCCTCAATACTTTGTTGAAACTCTGTACTCATAATTTTAGTAATGATAATCTCAACCATAAAAACAGAACCGCGCTCAGATGTTCGCTGTTTAACAGGAGGTAATCCAGGAGAATGCGGAATCACATTTATTTCATTATTCTCTGATAGGGAACGTTCTGATTTATTAACTTCTATGCTAAACAAATCTTTCTTAGTTTCATTCTCATCAATGGAACCATTAGATACTGTAGGAATTTGCCCATTTGCACCATTCATACTAGGACGAATTCGAGAAAACTGTAATCTTGACGGAGGTGGTAACCCTCTACCAATACCACTTGGAATACCACCTCTTTGAGAAGGTGACTGAAGCCTACTAATACCACTAGGTTGTGCTAACAAAGAAGGTGGTCCATTTATATGTATACTCGATGCATTAGGATTTGCTGTGACTAATGGATTTGCTAATGATGCAGTAGGTTTATTAAATGTTGAATTAGCTGGTGGTCTAAGAATTAATCCTGGTGGCAATTTCACTGGTTCGTCATCATCTATTTCTTCATCGTCTGCGTCAGCTTTATCCTTGCCTGATGGTGCAGCAAGCCGAGATTTTAGGCCCGCCTTTTTAGCATCCTTCCTCGCAGCAGGACCACTAGGGCCTGTTGGTCGAACGGCTTCTATCATCGGCATAATTGTCTGTTTTAATGCACCTTTCAAATCACCACATTTTGCTACTACATAATCATAACCGGCACTTTTTACTATAGGTCCTAAACAAGCCTGTGCTGCTTTTCTAACTTCACCATTCCGATCTTGTAAGCAAGATAGAATTGGTTGAACCATGGGTGACAAGTCTGGTAACGCATTCTTTTTATCACTCTCTACAGCTTCCTTGAGACGTTCAGAAAGCCAACTCAATAGATCTTTTCTTAATAAAGGATTATCAGTTGCAAGACTTGTTGAAAATGAACCAATTAAAGGATCGAGCCCACAAGCATTTGCTAAAGCATCCAAAGTGCCAATAGCACTGCCGCGGACTGTTGCTTTTTTATCTGTAAGAACAGCAGTGACTGGTGCTACTAATATTTTAACATGCCTGTCAAATGGCTTGCCCATCGCAGTAGCAAGCTTGGCAGTTATATCCAAAGCCATCATTTGCAAGTTTTTATTACTATCTGATAGCCTCGCTTTCAGGATAGGAATGAAGTCACCTATAATATAAATATTGTAATTAAGGTTCCTTTGCTTTTTTTTTGTCTTTTTAAGTTTACTAATATAATTAACATACCTAAGCTCGGTTTAATTTTCTTATTAGCATCAACAATAGCAAGAACTTGATCAAGTGCATCCTTTCGAACTTTCCATTTATCATCGTTACATTCCTAACAATATATTATTATTATACCAACTATTTACCATTAAGAAAGGATAATATAATCACCAATCAAAAAACTTACTGCCATCATTTTACTAGTAAATTGTGCGCTAATATCAACTTTAGGAAACAATTCTTCTAAAGTATCTTTCCCACTACCTCCTGTGCTTATAACATCGACCTTTTTAAATGTATAAAGAATAGAAATCAATATTTTAGGTTATATATAAAAATGATTATAGGTTTGATGATACACACGCTTGTTTTTAATGCTTTTGGAGGTGCTTTATCGGCTACTTTCTCAAATTCACTGTCAATTGTGGCTAGTTGTGTAGGATTTAAGTCTTGAACAAATGTTCTTATATCTACAACATAAATAGAATATTAAATATTATATATAATTGGGGAATATACATGATTATTTTTAACGATTTCTTTTTTTTTTACCTGGTCCTACAAAAACGCGCAAAGCTCCCAAAACAGTGACAGAATTTGTGCGAACAGCCGCATTAGAACTGCTTAATGCGAATTTGAGAAATTCAATCAACTCACGCACTTGAAGAGCTGCTATTCCAAATTCCATAATAGCACCATGCATCCATGTTAAACTATCAGCTAATATCTTAGGTGCTTTTGCTTTACGCAATGGATCATATGCTGTAATTTAAAGGTTTTATTAGTATTATAAATATTTATAAATTTAGACAACATAACTACTAACCTTGCGAAAATACAAATTGTAAGGATATTTTTTCGGTAAAAGCCGTTAATGCGTCTCCTGCACTTTTCTTTAGTTTAATGTCGCCCAACTTTTCTATCAATACTATAGTAACGAACATATAAATATTTTTAAAGAGATAAAGTTGTGAAATAAAATAAACGCATTAAACGCATTTTACTTGGTATTGCTAATGCTGCCGCTGGTTTTCCAAATGACGGAACTTTTTGACAAAGTATCTCCATTATATTAAATGCTTTTGATAAAATCTAAAATGTTAAACTTAGGTTAACACGTATTTAAAAATATTATTTCATATCTTAACACAATATAATATAAACCTGAAAATTGCTTTCTTTCCAGCCAGGTTTAATAGAAAGAAATCTGATAAATAACTCCGCTTCTACTTCAGACGGATCCATCTCTTCTAACGTGGTTTGAAGATTCTCAATAGCTAATATGAAAATAAACTAGTAAAAATTCTGCATAGTTTCAAGCAAAATAATTTTACTAAAATAACATACCCGCCAAACGTAATTTCCAATTCTTTTCACTTAATCCGGCAGTCTGATCGTCAGAAATCAATTCAGCAAACTTGGACTCAACTTCTTCGCTAGTAAACTTGTATTTGATAACTTCTTCCTTC